ATGAGAGTTCCTAATTTGGCATAAAATGTCAATTATTTTACTTCTTTAGTCTAATGACTAATCATGATGTAGGTAATACTACAATGAAAACATGAGGTCTTTTTAAACAATCTGGCCCCTCTGCTTGATAGTGCAAATTATTGCTTTATTTTATTATTATTATAATATATTATATTTTATTATTCCTCCTTTTCCTGATATCTGTTTGGTTATACTTCAGTGATCCATCCCCTAATATCCAGTTTTTAGAAATACATCAAATTAAAGGTCCAATCTCAGATCTAATTGTAAAGAGTCACCCCACCACAAAAAACAAAAAATATTGTTTTATGCTGCTGGTAAGGTGTGTTTATTCAATTATATTATATGTAATTCTAGAATAGCAGTAAAACAGGCCTGCATTTGCAATTATTAACAAATTAAACACAATGCATTTTTCGTTAATACAACAAATCTCAATCACAAAAACCTCAATCATTTGGTGAATTTATACCAAATTTAAATGGTATATAAATGCTTATATTTAGTATTATCATTAAGTGCATTGTGTATCTTTGAGGTTTAACAAGGGTGCGCATGTCCTTCCTCATAAAAATTTTAATTTTTTTAATCCAGAATGATTTACATCCATATTTACTAGCTTGGAGTCTTTTATCTTCCTTTGTTGGAGCATTGCTGCATATATTGTCTATATAAATGCCAACGTCTTTCAAATCCCCAGTTTGTGACGCAAGTTTGCTGTTAAATATTTGTAGTCCAGCACCAAGATGACCCCCAGCATTTTTACTCAGACTTTACACAGCTCCTCCCTAAGAATACATTATGAGACATTTTTTACAGACTGCTTACCCCTGAAAAGAACTGTGAACTGACCTTTATGTGTAAAGTCAGCTGAGTTTCCCTTTCCCAAAGAATGGATATAATAGATGTCTGAAGTAGCCCATATCTGTTCTTTATCTCAAGGATCAAAATTTTGAAACTCATTAACGTAAACATGTTGCAAATGTAGTTAAAAATACAAGACATGACTGGGGCAACACAATTTATGTAGCAACAAAGTGTACAAGACCACAACAGACCAACACAATTGTTTTAATGCCCCTTTTAAACTGATCCTGTTTTAACTGCTTTGTTGCCAACAGCCAGAACACCCCAACCCAGGTGTTCGGTACCCAGGAACAGACCGTGTGGCCTACCTCCCTGACAGCCCTGAGGGGAACCGCGTGCTGGGTCTGCTGCGCCGGGCCTTCGAACAGCGCCTTATCTTCACCATCGGTACCTCCATGACTACGGGCATGCAAAACGTCATCACCTGGAATGACATTCACCACAAGACCTCAATATGGGGCGGGCCCCGCTGGTATGTATAGCCTTTTAGCTGGAGGCGAATTGCCATTGAGATTTGATTTGGTAATAGCCTCAACAACTTCCCTAAAAGGTGTGGTAGCTGAGAAAAGGACTCAGTAAAGACTGATAGAAGTAATTCAAGTTCCTGTCAAGGAAATGCTTTCAGTTGATGTCCTTGGCTAGATGGCACTATTGCAGCTTGAGCTCATACAGATGCAGTGATGGCTTTTTTATTTCTTCTGACAGTTTTGGCTACCCAGACCCCACTTACCTGGTGCGAGTGACAGAGGAGCTCAGAGAGAAAGGCATCACGGCGGACTGACGGCATGAAAATGACAGACTCTTCCAAGACTTTGTAGGACTTTCCGAGTGTCCTTGCGGTGGACGTGACTCGGCTCCAGGTTGTGCTCTGAGACTGCCCGTCCCTTAAAAGATGGCTGAAGACAAGGCCCTCAGCAGACAGGCGTCTAATGCTGCAGCAGAGCCCACATCACTCCACTAATTGTTCCTCCGTTTGTTCATTTTTCCTCCAGAGTTCAGCTTAACCCAGTGCTACATGTGGAAGAAAATACTTTGAGTGCAGTGCATTCTTGTATTACACAGTCCTCTACCTGTCACTGTTGGCAATAGGACCGATATCTGATGCACTTATTTAAGAGCGTTGTGTTGGTGTGTTGGAATTCATGGTACTTATATATTATTTAGGAAATCTAAGTTTAATGTTATAAAGACAGTTTATGTTATATTAATGTTTATTTCTACTCTGGGGATTATTTTATTCCTTACAAGCACATGTTCTTGGTTTTATCCCCCCAGAAATGTTTGTTGAGTAAGTCTCTAATTTGATTGTTACTAATGACCTGTTGTAAGGATAGTACTTGGGTTATATGGCAGAATAGCACTGCTTCAATAGAAAGAATTCATTTTCTGAAGTTATTGCAATCTAAAGCACTCACAGGCACTTTGGTATGGCAGTTTGTTTTTCAGTGAAGTCGTTGTCGTCATTATTGCTTCCTCTGTGGAAGAGAGCTCGGGGCAAACAGGTTCGCGCAGCCGTCAGCTATTAGCTCGATGGTTACAAGTTGATGTCAATTGCTTGGAACTCTTCATTTGCGTGTGATCTTCATTTCCCCCCCATTTGTACTGAAAAAGGAAGAATGTTAAACTGTCTTGTTGCAGCACCTTTTATTACACACGTTAGGACTTTCCCCTGGGGTTATTTGCCATCGGTCACTCCTGTTATTTTAAGATGTCTCCCAGGTGTTGAGCCCATTACCTCAGTTGTTAGTAATGTGCTCATCTAATTACCAGATTTATGACGATGTCAAATAAAAAGGGCATATAGACCACTTAAACCAAATGAAAGGCACAAAAGCTCTTTAAATATCTATGCCTCTGTCCCTGTCAAACTGGGAGATTTGCCTGATTTGCTTGCCTGTTCTCATTTAAAATGAGGTAACTGTTGTGAATTTTGTTTATCTAAATAGATAATCAATAATACACAGTTAAAAAATATAAGAAAATGTTGCGGGAACAATTGATTCGATTTAGGGTGGGGTATTGATCTCATTTTGTTGTGCCTTTCTTATATTCACTTTTGATAAAACTCGAGCATGATGTTACTAATGAACAATAAGCAGTTTGGGCGTATTTCGGTGTTATTTGATAGATAAACAGCATTATGTTTGTAGCTAAACTATCTGGCTTTAAATGAAAAATACTACACAGTTCATGAAAAAATGTATACTAATGTGCATTTAATTAGCTTCTCCTTCATAAACATTCTTGTAGTCCAAATGCTGAAAACCCCCCTCAGAATTGATAAAGCTGTATGTGTGAAAGTGCTTTGCTGAGTGCAGTAACCTACTTGGCTAGTGGTACATTTGTCATTCATTTGACTGGTCAGATCTATACATCAAATACCCTTTTTATTATGTTTTCATCTACTTTGTATTTTAGTTAAGGGACCAACTGAAATCATTTTGGGACACAGGATTGTAGTTTACTAAAGCTACTGTGCAAACATTTCTATGCATTACATAAGTGAGGAGGAACCAGGAGAACGGATAGTTGGAGCGATTACACATATTACAAACTGATTGTTAAGGAAAAGTTGGAGTTTTGCTTTTCTAATTGTGTTGATTCGTACTTTGTTGATATTCAGAATAATGTGCTTTACATTTTAATACTTGAATAAAAAGTTATGTTTGCGTTTGTGTTGGATATTCAATGTAGGCCCTAAATAAACCGGGTGCATCATGGGAAACCGAATATCAAACCAGTGTCCATTTGGAAAGTGTCCATTTGGAATGAGTTGTGGCCTTTAATCATGGTTTAACCTGAACTGTTCCCCTGTAGTATCAAAGACTCTTGCAACACCAAGACACTGTTCTCTGCTAATGCCTTTTGTGCCATCTAGTGGACAACATCATGACTGTAGTGCGACAGCTTGAAAATACTTCATACTTTGTACCTAATTTTAGCTTATTCCTTACAAATGGGCGATGACGTGGCTTATATTTGGGCAGGTTTTTTTGAAGTACAGTCATGAATATTAATCCGTCTGGGGACCTTTGTTATCATGTCATCTCCCTCTCACACTCTCTACATTTCTTGTCTGCCTCTATACTGTCAATTAAAGGCAAAAATAGCGAGTAAATAGTCTTTGAATAATGAATGAATTACGTGTTGTTCCTCCAACTCACTTCACAGCACGTTCTCATTCCCAGATGGTCAAATACAGATCTTCCAAACCCCCTGAAATACTTTAACTTGAGAAGTTTTACAGAGGCAGCAGATAGTATCCTGATTTTCTTCTCTCTTGCTCACAGCTGCAGGCAAGAAGATACTGGTTAATTATAACAAATTATCAAAGCAAGCACTAGAATGTTAATAAATAATGTCTCATTATCCACCACTTTTACATATAAAGTGGCCTATTGTCACACATTCAAATTCTTAAAGACTAATCAGTTTTCAGGCCAGATAAATTACAGGTATATTCACTTATAATCAAAGAGTTTGAGATATTGCTTGAAACATTTTTGCATTTCGTGTGTTTCTCATCTGATCATAAGTAGTATCTGAACTAATATATATACTAATATTTTTTTGTTTGGTGCAAGATGTATTCATTCAGATCCTTTATTTAAGTAAAAGTAGCAACTGGCTTACCACAGTGTAAAAAATACCCAAAGTAAACACTTTGAATTCAAAATTATTAGTAAAAATATGTAAATAATATCAGCATAATGCACTTAAAGTATAAAAGTTACTTGCTGTGCAGGCAAAATCACCTCCGCCAGTGTTAAATGATTAAATTATATTATTAAAATGTACTATTAGATAAATCATTTTATTATTCCTGTATTTTATATGCTCCCAGTCTTTAAATAGTACAGTAAAAGCACAATACTCTCCTCTAAAATGTAATGAAGTATAAGTATAAAGTGCAGTACAAGTATCTCAGACTTAAATGTTTTACACTTTGGTTTGGTTTATGAAATGTGCCAATGAGTCTTTACAGATATCAAAGCTACATTTTCTCCTCAGACCCATCAGTAACCCGTTCAAACCAATGAGAGGTCAGTGTTTGCACTACTTCCTTGCACATGGAGGTGCATCACCCAGTGGAAATGATCCGGTACTTTCCTTATTTATACGTCACATATCTCCGGACCAGTCAATGCTCCGGACACACATTACAAGATCGCATCCGTGAACGGAAAGGCAACATACTTGTCGTCACACACCGGAAAAAATAATGGAAAGCACATCAAACAGTCACTCCGGTGTAGTTCGTAAAAGTGCGGAAGACTGCGCCATTTGCTTGGACAAAATCCAAGAGAAGAAAACGCTAAAGTGCCGCCACTCTTTTTGCTCTGAGTGTATAGACTCGGTTTTCAAGTTGAAGCCCGCTTGTCCGATATGTAACACCTACCACGGAGAGTACACAGGCACCCAGCCGCCGGGCACGATGGCGGTGACGCGCAGCTGGCAGCGCCTCCCCGGCTTTGAGCGCTGCGGATCTATCGTCATACAGTACAGTTTCCCTTCAGGGATACAAGGGGTGAGGTTTAACTGGAGCCATACGCCAAATGTGGAGGCTAGTACATAATGAACCGATTACTGCACTCTGACTGCACCTTTCAGGCTGCTTTTCATAGCACGTCCGTCCACCAGAGGACGCTGTTGTTTGTTTTTTGCACGGACACATTAAAGCATCTGGATTAAGTATGATAAAATGGCCGCCAACTCATATCCGCTTCGCCCGACTATTACACACATTTCTTCCTCATGTTCAGTCCGTTTTTGTGAAATAAAAATATTTATGTGTAAACCCGTTATGGAGGCGGCCTATGATCCTATAGAGGAAGTGACTTCACAGGTGCAACCTTCCGTTGCCATAGAAACAGTGTAGGGGCGGAGGAGGACAAGATGTGCCGGACTGTTTGCCCACAACTCGCCTTGTTTTATAGGAATGTGCTTCCCATTTAAAGAGACTACGCTCAACTGGGAGCGCAGCTAGTGATTATTTTCATTATCACTTGCTATCACTGCTGATTGTTTTCTTGATTCAAATTGATAATTGCCCATTTATGAGATGAAAACATGTCCATCACAGTTTCCCATAGCCTAAGGAAAAAGATATTCAGTTTACAGTGATATCAAACAGAGAAATGCAGCAGATCTTCACATTAGAGAAGCCTGAGGCAGACAATGTTTATGTTTTTGTTTAAAAATTTACTGAAATAGTTGTGGATTCATTTTCTGTCAATCAAAAACAAATTGATTACTCGCCTGACCTTTTTAGCTCTACTCTCAACACCTTTCCTATGCAGCAGAAGTTATTTCCAGTCCATTTTAGGGCATTGTTTTATGTACAAGAAACCAACAAACATCATTTCTCGTCTATCTGTAACAGAAAAAGCGCACAGGCATCAGTCCATAGATGTGTAGGGGGGTCAGATGGGTAAAGTAGATGAAAGCAAAGACTATGGATTGACTTTCATCTCGGATCCACTAAAAGAAACAAAAAAAAAAGAAACTCACTAGCAACCCAGTATTCTAAATTTTTCTACAGGATATAAATGGAAAAGATGTGTGTTTGCGTGTGGGAGAGGGACAGTGAGAGGGGGGGGGGGGGTTTTTTTTGGATGTTGTGCAACACTGAAAACATCTTAAAGTGTTGTATGAGGGAATGCTTTCTGTGTCTCAGGAGTATTTCAGAATGCACCAAGGACTGCCTCTCAGAAGAAGTCGACATTTGTGACTGTAGAAACAACCCAAAAATGTGTCCTTGTTTAGTTCCTTATATAGAGATGTGAAAATGAGCACTAGCCCTACAGATATGTTACAAAGTGCATCACAAAAAAGATTTTCATCTGGACTTGAGCCTTATCATAAAAGGGCCACAATTGTTGATCAGTGCATGTTACATATATGCTGTTGTTCACTATATTACAGCCTGAGCACCCAAACCCTGGGGTGAGATACAGCGGCACCACTCGTACTGCCTTCCTGCCAGACTGCAAGGAGGGTGAGAAAGTCCTGAAGCTGCTGAGGAAAGCCTTCGACAGGAGGCTCATTTTCACCGTCGGACGATCTGTTACCACAGGTCTCAACAACGTCATCACCTGGAACGACATTCACCACAAGACCAACATAGAAGGTGGTCCACAATGGTATGCACATTATTGCTGTAGAATACATTTTCACCCATTAATGTAGCCTACCTTGTTGGCTGTGATGAAGGATTTACAAAACAAAATTTTAGTTTTTTTGTTTCTCTTATAACACAACTTATTTATGTAAACCTATCTGCATTATTAGTAGGCATAAATAAACACGTTAAGAGTCTTCAGCCATGCTAGCGGCTCCCTGAGGCTATATTTGCTCAAATATTTGCACACCATTTTTACTTGCATATTGCATATATTATACTTTTCATTTATAGTCTTATATTTTATATTATATTTTGTAATATCTTATTGTACTTCCACTTCTATACTCTTGCACTACATTTCCTTATGCTGCTGTGTCTAATTTGAATTTCTCATATGGAGTGGTGGACAGACTGACAGACATATTCATTCCTAGAGCCACATTGCTAGCGTGGCCAAGGATAAATTATAAAAAAATATGATATAATACAATTTTAGCATGCTTGGCTGCATGAATAGTATATTGTTGTTGTGGTGTAAAATCCTCTTTAAGTCCCAGTTTTTCACATTTGGTTCGTCTCTGTGGGAAACTAGAACCTTTGGTGTTGCAAAGCCTTTCCAAATTTATATTGGATAAATATAAAATACAGGTTCAGGAAGCTGAACAGAAAGTTTTCTTTTACTTGTTCCAGAGATATACTAACTATATTTTCTGTCTTTCTCCATTCCAGTTTTGGATATCCAGATCCAGAATATTTGTTTAGGGTTCAAGAGGAGCTCTGTCTGAAAGGAGTGACCGAGGATCCCTGATGGAAGAAGACAATCAGAAGAGATCCTTTAAACAGATTTAATACTGTGTATTGTTACAAAAGTTTCTGATTTTAATCTGCACTTTTTGCAGTCTTCAAGCAGGGAGCTTAATCATTGACACTTTAAGAAGATTTTTTTCTTTGAAATGGATACACAGAGTTAAATATTATGTTGAGACATGAAGGTTAGTGGCTTTTCCCAAAGATTGTTCAACTGACTATGCAAAAATATTTTAAACACAGTAATCACAAAAAAACTAATATTACACTATAGTAGATTAGTAAAAAAGGGGCTATACCACTGATCATCAGATTGAAATAATGCAAATATCTCATCTTTTGTAACTCTGAATCACAGATCTGGTGCCTAAAACTAGACATAGGAGATAGAGCAGGAGGTAAAAGCAGTCTTTACTTAATCAGGCAAAGTAATCCTGAGGGCTAAAGAGACCAGAAGTGTACTGGCTGGAAAAGCCCCAAAAACATCTAACCAAGAGCAACTGCTAGCTGTGTTTTATATAGGCAGATATATATAATAATAATGTATTGATCCCACAACCTTTCACAACTCTGAAATCTTTAAATGCTGGCTTTAGCTGTAGCACTTTTATGAATGTAACTGGAATGGGTCCACCAACATACTTTTACATGTTGTATATTACGTAGGAATAAGCCTGTTTTACAGTAGCTGATGTTGGGTGACTGCTTTGACATTGTTCAGTATAATAAATTCAGGTTCTGTCTATACGTTCAACTAGTGAGGTATTCAACTGTATGTGGCATTACCATAGTTAATGTATTATGTTTAAAGGTTGAGTCTGGTGATATTCTCTTCATGTCCACAAATCCCATGAAAAGATCAAAAACAACAGTGAATACTAGCAAGTATTGCCGCTGTTGTCAAAGCCTTAATAAGATGTAGCTTATTCCTCTGTGCCACAGACCAACATTGTTGTTGAAAAACTAATAAGAACATCAATGGGTGATTGTTCTGTCATTACAGTGAACATGGACACTAGTTCATTTCAAGTTGACCCCATATACAAAGTCCTGCTGCTGTTAACATTCACTAATGCACCAAATAAATACCCAAACAAATGCACTGTTTACTCCTGTTGGAAAACGTTTGTTATTTTAGATATTGTTGAATGAGTAGGCTCAGGAATGACAGATGAACTCACGCATTGTTGGTTTTGGTCCACTCATGGGATATTTTGAGAATAACCAGTCTCATCCTATAGCACAGTTAAGACTATTTTAATTCATTTTGTGCCTTTACATGACATCAGTCATTGTACCGTATTAAAGATAGTGTCGAACAAAAGAATCGTTGTATCTATCAAACTGTTTGAGCCCAAAAACATTTTTAATATGTTTTCCAGTCTTTTACCCGTCTGGTCCACTAGAGGGTGATGCTCTCCTCAAAGAAGAGTGTGTGATGGCGTCTGCTTGGTATGCAGCTGTATCATCATCACAAACCCACAGTCCCACAGCACCTCCCAAACCTCATTGCCCAAAGTCAGTTAGAGGAGCGGAGCATCTGCTATAGATGATGAGTCATGTGTTTCTATGGTGCTAGGGGCAGTTTTAGCAGCAGCAACTCACATTGTATGTACAGCAGAGAGAACAATTATCACCTTGTGTTTTACCACAATGAACTGATCATCTCTGGATTCCTGATGGCAGTGCAAGTACTGTTGAAGCTGCAGTTGTGGTAGTTACATGCACAGACAGATGCAGGTACAATTTAAAGGTTGTCAAAGACAAAAGAGCTCAAGGCTCATCTGTTGTTGAAATGTTAAATGTTAGTTAATGTGTAACAATTGTTGTAGCCATTAGCACAAATAAACCTTAAAATATTTTCTCTTTTCATGCTCCAAATCTGGGCACGTAAGCACTGTTTTTGCTTTTCACTGGGCACTCTGCAGCACACATTTACCAAGTTACAACTGAATATGAATGACGTCCAGCTGATCTTCTTCTCAAGGCTATAGCACACAGTTATAGGATGAGGAATGAATACCTTTAACCCATATTTCTATATCAGAAAGAGTGCACATGTGATAAGGCGGAGTTACTGGAGTCGGCCTCTTTAGTGCTTTGGTGTTTAGAGGCTGGGGGCATTTCTGTGGCCTAGGATCTCAGGGCATCTGCTGCTCTCACAAAGCAGACCAGAACCCATCTGGTCAAATGTACCCCCCCCNNGTACCCCCCCCCCCCTTCTCTCCTCTTTTCCCATAATTCATCAGTCCAGTCCATCCATTTCTCATCATCATCCCTTTTCCTCTCTTGACCCTTTAACAGTTTTCTATTATGTGTCCATTCTTTATGGGCCTTTCTCTGCCAATTTCTTTTCATTTCCGCTGTATTGTGTAAATGAAAAGCACGTACAGCATGACTTCATACAACATCATGAGCATTTCATTACAACTTTTAACAGGAGAGTGAATTACAGTGTCATATGAGAAGAAGAAAAATGGAGCACTGAACATGATAAACCTACTGTCTACTACTGTTAAAATTAACTTTCCTAACCTACATTTGAACGTAAAATATTCCTTGTGAAAGGCTGAAAAGTGGTTCCATACAAACACATCCCCCCATTTGACTGTATATATTATTTGACTGTAGATATTATTGTTTAAATGCAAATTTTTTCAAAATATCTGTTCTTAAACTGAAATAAAATGACATGGACTCTCAGTATCTTGTTAGCTCTTAAAACGTAAGGCCTTGGGTCCAGAATTGATATTAAAATGCCCTCTCTACAGGCATTTATCTTCCCCTTCATTGTCCATCTGGACATCTGGAAATAGAGGCAAAGAATTACAGATATGTAACCAAAGCTATAAATATGTCTCAATAACTATACAGAGCAATATTGTGGTGGATTAATTATGCATCAATGTAAATGGCCAGTAACAAGCCTCCCCTATATAATGGATTTATGACAGCATGAAAATAAACTCTCTGTGTATGGATTAAGACGCATACATCTGTGGCTGCTTTCATTAATTTCCATCAAACGTCGTTCTACACTGTTGTGGCAGGATGACTTGAATATCGTCCTGTCAGGCACTGAAAATAGCACCAAGACTTTCTGGTGGTGACTAGACGGCCGCTCAGGAGGGGCTCCCAAGAAACACACAGATGTGCATACAGATCAGACGAGAGATGTGCAGTGTTTCCTGTACTAAAGATGATAAGAGAATCATTATGTGACAATGCAGAGTTGTTGTTCTCGCCCCCTCTACCCACTGTGCTCCTTAATTAGAGTGTCTCTGGCTGTGGGGAGAACCCTGGCACATCGCCTGCGTGCTTGCCTGCCTGCCTGCCTGCCTGCCTGCCTGCCTGCCTCCTCATCCTCTCATCCTCTGGTGCTAAAGCCACACACATATCACAGATATACCTGTATATTTGGGGGCATGGCACGCTTCGTCTCCCTTCACTGTAATGAGGATCAGCTCCACCAGACGTAGCCTACTTTTGCATACCTTAGAAAGTATCTTTTTTTTTTTTTAATATCTGCCCAGTTTCCTTTTTTAATGCCAACATTGACAGTGATAAAGATTATCTGGCTTCCCCTGAATTAAAAATCTGTATATCCAAACCATAAAGGCCAAACAAGGATATTTCAGGCTGTGCTTGTATGTTAGGTAAATGGACAGGAGGAGGCTGAGGCATCTGTCTCCACACACACTCTTTGTGTGACAGAATGTCAGCCCACACCGCTGACATGCTCATTCACTGTGCCTAAGGCTGTTTGCTTAAGAACAGCAAAGTGAAGGTGGGTGTGTGGGTGCTTGTGCTTCTGTGGCTTTTGTCTGTGTGCCCTTGACTGCATCTGTGCATACAGTATGTATGGATATGCACTAGTGAATACTTGAGCATGTGTGTGTGTTTGTTGAGGTCGTTTCTCACATTCTGTTCTCTGATTCATAGCCGGGGCTACATGGCTTTTTGTCTGCCTGATTTAGCAGAACAGACCCTCTGCTTTTCTTAGTAATGCTGACAGATTTACTGACTTACTTCACCGACAGGACACAACAGCAGAGCTGGCAACTATTGGGGTCTTTGGCTGGGTTGTCAGCGTCACAGATTGAAGACTCTGCTCAAGCTGTTCTTCATTAGCGACAGCTGAGCTTCTCCTCGATATGAGAATAGCAGCTCCATCATCTGTCCTCTGTGAGAGAAGACGAAAACAATGTCCAGTAATTACCTCTCCAAATTTAAATCAGGGACAGTGTTGTCATCAGTTGTTTATCATGCATATATAGGTGTTTCTGTTCACATCACACACAATATTCAACCTCATAGTCTCATTCATGTGAAACTGCAGTAACTGGCTGTGCAGCAACATGGAAACATAATATAACAGAAGCTAAACAAAAAACCCTGCAAATACAGTCTAGTAAATATTTTCTGGGTGCACTGAGGAATGCCAAACTCATTTGTTTTCCTTCCTGTCTGAATCCTCAGCCTTGGCCATCCACTCTCAGACTGCCTCATGTAAGAGCAATTAGCTGTGGCTGTCATGGCAACTAGCATGACCTTTCTGTCATTTTACAAACAAGAATCTCAACCAAGGTCTGTCTTTCTTCTGAACAACTGCAACAGCTGTCTGGAGCTTTTTTTCACATTAGTGGAAGAACAGTTTTATTTTATTCCTGGCTGAGGCTGGCAGGAAATTGTACGTATATAAATCTAAAATTAGGATTCACATTTACACATCAACTACATCTAATGTATCTCTTTTGTTTGGGTTTCATCCTAATTTATTTACTCTAGACTACAGAAGAAGAACTAATATAATTAGTGTTAACCAATTGTTTTTTAAGAAATTGCCTGATTGCAAAAGAAAGCATCATTATTATATAAACATTTGGGCCTCATCCTGCAAAAGTTCTTAAGGCCTGAATATAAAGTGTAAATATAAATGGCCTAGCTCACAAAATTGTGTGCTTGCCCAATTGTAGATTTTATATTTCTGTGCCAAGGTGTAGGCTGAAAAAGCATTCTCTGCTGTAGCTGAGTGCACTTACTGAAAGATTTTATTTACCCATATGTGATGTAACTATTTCTTGTACTATAATCCAGGATGAGCATCCACGCAGAACCCTGATATAGATCCAAAGCAGGTCAGGCTAAACCTGCAGAACTATGAGGCAAGTGATACCAGTCTCTAACCAGTGTTTTTTGTCTCATGTCTCAAGTGTGTGAAATGGGTACCTTGCTTCACCTGTGGTTTGTTGATGTAGAGACGTCATGCTTCCAGAGGGCTATGCAGGAGTCCTTACAATAACCAAATGGAACAGCTGCACCTTATGGCAACAAACAGCTCACTCAGCAGTTTAGATGTTGAATCATAAGAGTAAACAGAAAGCTTAATCATGTCAGATAATTATAGCAAGAGTTGAGGATGTTGTGTGAATACTGCCACAGTATGTCCTTGTATGATACATAAATCAACGTGAGTCATAAGATGTATTTTCATATTCATTGCCTAACTTGTATCCTTTTTGTCAGATTAAAGCTTGGTCAGAAGAAAATTAAAGTAGCCATACCAGTAAATGTGGCATATGTCTGACAAACCAGAAAGAATAATGAAATCTTGAGAGACGCTTTGAGCTTATCTCTGGAAAAATATTTTTTATATTCAAAATTCAGTTAAGTTCCTGGCATACATACTGTACATGTCTAAATCAACAGCAAACAGAATTAAAGTTCCAGACTGCCTGCTTAATTTCATGATTTCCAAGACTGAAGATTGTTTTTTAAACCAAATATCACAAAACAATGAGAGTATTGTAACAGTAATATGTAACACATTAGTTAAACACAGTGTAGATCTATGAATATTTTGCCTACACACAAGAGCTCTTTTGAACATCAAAAGCCATCTAAGTAATTAGAGAGAGAGCTGGAGAAGAGGGAGAGAGTGAGCATTTAAGTATTGCCAATGTGGCATACTGATTCCTGTCACAAAGGTGCCTCTAAGCCTTCTACAGTCAGTATCAAGGCAGGAAGGATAGCAACTGGGGGGAAAAATGCATATTTACTTATCAAAGATGCCCCCCAAGCAGCTGTGAATCAAAAACCTAGGAATATGCGAGTCAAAGAGAAGAGGAAGAAGATACAGAGAATAAGAAGAAACAGCTTTGGGAGGGAGGACACAGACAGAGGGCGGATGAAAATCCTCCATATCTTTGGAGCTGATGTGTTGCATAGTAACAGACAATGCATTCCAGTATCTAGACCATGCAAGTACTTTCTTTTCCGCCTTTTTTAAAAATGTGATGTATGCAGAGAGCCTGGCATTATTTAGGCTGGCTATCTGGGCTTGTATGATTGAGGAGACACAGTAAAGGAGGTAAGGGCAATGCAAGAAAGTACTGATATTTTCCCGAGCCAGATATGAAAATCAACCAGGATCACTGACGTGCACTGTCCTCAATCTCTAAAATATTTTTCTCTTCTCTTTACGAACAATACGTCACCACTGATCCAGAACTCTGTTTAATAAACTGAAGGATGTATCAGAAAAATATTAATCTCACTTTGTCCCAGTGATGTTATGTCAAATATTTATACGTTGACACTAGCTGACAGCTGATGACAAGTTCAGAAAAAATTTGGTGTGGCATATAAAATATAGAACCGTGCACCACTGCTGTGCTGTACCACGCTGGTGGTGATGCTGCATTTTGCAGTTTTCTTCTGAACTCTGACCTATGAATCTGCAGGAGGTCATGGAAATGTTTTGTTTTGTGTATCACATTGTTGAATTTATCATTTGCATAATTTTAGGATAAATAACTGAGAGCCAAA